TATTGTGAATAGTGCCGCAACAGACATAGGTGGTAGCTATCTCTTTATATAATGATTTCTTATCCTTTGGCTAGCTGCCTAATTTTGATTCTTTGGGAGATTGCCATACTGTTTTCCATAGAGGTTGTACTGGTTTGCATTCCCCCAACAATGTATGAGTATTCCCTTTTCTCTGCATCCTCACTAACATCTGTTGTTTTTTGACGTTTTAGAAAAGTCTTGCTCTGGGAGTATGTATACAAAGACTTTAACAATTGTTTGTTCTTTTGGCTTATCTGTTCTACAATGAGTTTAGTGTTACTCATTTAGTGTTAATCTGTTTTGATTATTAAGAGAAAATAGAATGAATTAATAACTAAATATAAACATTTGTGTTTTACTTTCCTTTTTTAATTCAAAATTTTATGGAAATTTTATTTGAAATGCTCTGATTTATACCTTATGAAACATATTATCAATCTACAAAAAAATCTTACTGAGGCAGTTTGCAAAAGTTTTATGTTGCTAAATATTCATTAAGGCAATGTAGGTAATTAAATTTTAGCTTTTATTTTGAGCTTAGGGGTACAAGAATAGGTTTGCTACATAAGTAAGCTTATGACATGGGGTCTGTTGTACAGATTATTTTGTCACCCAGGTATTAATCCTAGTACCCATTAGTTATTTTTCCTCATCCTCTTCCTCCTCCCACCCTCCACCCTCTGAAAGGCCCCAATGTGTGTTGTTTCCCTCTGTGTGTCCATGTGTTCTCATCATTTAGCTCCTACTTAGAAGTGAGAACATGTGGTATTTGGTTTTCTGTTTCTGTGTTAGTTTGCTGAGGATAATGGCCTCCGTCTTCATTCATGTCCCTGCAAAGGACATGATCTCGTTCTTTTTTATGGCTGCATCTGTTTTACTTTCTAATATGGTAAATATTAAACAGTTCTTTGGAATTAAAAGATGTTATGCATATAAAAGGGTCCTGAGACCAAAAAGTTTAAAAACATATGGCTATGCTATTTTCTTTGCCTAGAACTCTTCTCTATTTTCTCTAGAGAAATCCTACACATAATTGTAGAGTTAATATTTAGGTATTCTTTAAAAAAAAAATTTACTGAGCCTCTTGTCATACCTGGGTTTTTGTTGCTATTGGGGACATGGTACCAATCCCTTATGGAGATCACAGTCTGGTGGGGAAGACACATTAAACCCGGTATGATGAATGTTACCAGTGATAGCATATAAATGTTGTGGGAGTACAGGCTGCTGTCAGAGTCTCGCAAAGAACCACTTTCCCACTCACCTGGAACATATGACTGGTCAGGTTGATTGGATTATACCTCCTATATTTGATTCTTCATAGGGAAAGTGGCCGAAGTTAACAGAAGATGGGAACTGTTTACTTGCTGCTCTGGGAGTAAAGAAGGATACTACAAGTGTATTAAATATCAGCCTACGCCAGGCCCTATGCTGGGTGTTTTAACAAACGTGATTTCATTTTTAAAAAGTTTGTGCAGCAGATTATTATCCTTATTTTGCAAATGAGAAATTGGGGGCTCAGATAAATTAATTTGTCCAGTATCTTATGGTTTGTAATTGGTGAAGATGGGATTTTGATAGTGTTGTGACTCTTAAGTCCAGGCTTTTTCACTGTAGTTATGTGTTGCTAAATGGATGGCTCTTTGAAGGTATTTCCAGATGGTTGTGGGAAACCTTGCCAGATTGGAATGCATAAGAGAAGGTAGGAAGGGTCTTAGGAAGAACAGAGAGACAGCTCAGGACATGCTTGGTTGAAGGAGTTATTTGTGAGTTTTGGCTGACATGGTTTTTCTGTACAGGATTCAACAGCCATAGGGGAATCAAGCTTTTGTACTCCCTAACCCTCAATCCCTTTAATCCTTCTCTGTGTCAGCTGATGCTAGCAGCAAAGGTCACCTGTCTGTCTGATCAGGTTACAAACCAGAGACTGGGTATTTGAAGCCCAAACTTCTTGGATCTTGTAGGTCTTTGGGAAAGGTGCTGGTTAATTGACCTCAGGCCAGTGGTGCAGCCTGGAGGCCCCAAACCCTAGAGTTTGGTAAACGATTTCCATTATTTTAAAATGCCTGTTAGAAGTTATGCTTTACATAGGATAAGCCTGTGTGTGGATACAGGCTAATGAAAAGATTAGATTTCTATCTTTCTTTAATTCTTTTTTTTTTTTTTTTTTTTTTTTTTTTGAGATAGGGTCTCTCTCTGTTGCCCAGGCTGGAGTTCAGTGGCACAAACATGGATCACTGCAGCCTCAACCTCGTGGGCTCAAGCGATCCTCTTACCTCAGCCTCCTGAGTAGCTGGGACTACAGGTGTGCACCATGATACCTGGCTAATTTTAAAAATTTTTGTAAAGACAGGGTTTCACCATGTTGCCCAGGCTAGTCTTTAACTCCTAGGCTCAAGGGAACTCCCACCTCAGCCTCCCAAAGTGCTGGGATTACAGGTGTGAGCCACCACACCCAGCCTTGGATTTCTTCTTTTAGGTCAATCCAATATGATTTAGGTGTGCTACATATGATATTCTATAACAGAGTTCTGCAAACTATGGCCTGTGGGCCAAATCCAGTTTACTGCCTGCTTTTATAAATAAAGTTTTATTAGAACACATTCAAGTTCATTCACTTATATTTTGTCTATGGATGCTTTTGTGCTACAATGGCAGTTAAGTTGTGCAGCAGAGACTATATGGCCGACAATTTCTAAGTTGTTTACTATTTGGCCCTTTACAGAAAAAATTTGCTGATACTTAATTATGATTCTTTCTATCATGGCACTTAGCACACAGTGTTTTAATTGCCTGGCTCTCCCACTTTTGTAATTAACCTTCTGAGAGAAAATTGAGATATGATTCATATTTTTATGCCCCATGCTGATCATAGGGCCTAATATATGAAGAACATTCAATAAATGTTTAAATGGGCATATCACAGGCTGATAAAAAAGCTCTAATATTTAATTATATATGTTTTTGTTGGTGAGGTAGTTGAGAAACAATGCCTTAATCTTTGAGTGTATTCTGCTCTCTCCCTAAGTTCCCACCACCCCTTCATCCCATTCCCCAATTTAGCAGAACAAATGTAGAAAGAATTAAGTTTATGCAGAGATATTTTTGTATGCATACTGTTCATCATCCTTTTTTTCTTTTATCAAACCATTGCAGACTGGGCATGGTGACCCATGCTTGTAATCCCAGCAATTTGGGAGGCCGAGGTGGGCTGATCACTTGAGGTCAGGAGTTCGAGACTGGCCTGGCCAACATGGTGAAACCCCATCTCTACTAAAAATACAAAAAATTAGCCGGGCGTGGTGGCGCATGCCTGTAATCCCAGCTACTTGGGAGGCTGAGGCAGGAGAATTGCATGAGCATGGGGAGTGGAGGTTGCAGTGAGCAGAGATCACATCACTGCACTACAACCTTGGCAACAGGTTGAGACTCTGTCTCAAAAAACAAACAAAAAAACAACCAAAAAAGCCCCCATTGCTTCAGTGTTCTTCTTGCCCATATTATCACCTGTAGCTTCTAAAAGATGAAAGCAACCCAAGGCCAGCTATCTGGTCACCCTAGCAAAAAGGCAGTGGTGAAGATGGGATTTTGAAGTGCTGGCCTGGGAGTCAGCAGACTTGGGCTCTCACTGTGGCTCTTCAGCTGCCTTTGACTTTGGCACATCATTTAACATTGGTGAACTTCAATGTTCAACATACTTTTATTGAATCACATCTGGAACACTTTAAAATTTAATATTTATACTCCTCCCTTATTTTGAAAAGGATTTGAATAACTAGCAAGAGGTAGAGAGGTGACCTGTCTGGTCTTATCACTGTCTTTGGCTGGCAGACAAGTAGATGATTAAATGGATTAGGGTATTTTAGGTCTTTGATTAGTGCCTTCTAAAAGGCGTCACAACCACAGCCTCTTCATCCTGTCCTTACTTTCTGTCCTGTGACAGCTTCTTCTATTGCCTAGGAAGTCAAGATCTATCTTCTTTGAGGGTCATCTGAAGAGTATTTTGCCAAGGAAGTAGTTGTCAAGATCCAGATCAAAAGGAAAGAGAAATTTTAGCATCTAGGAATTGGAAGAAATACTAGAAACTTCAGTCAAAATACCTTTTTCAAATAGTGACCTTGAGGCCTGGAGAAGAGAAATGTCCTCCCTAGATCACATGGTAGAGCTAAGCCTAGATTTCAGGCTCTTTCTATTGTGTGCATCATTCAGACTAGGTGTTTTCCAGGCTTGTAAGAGAGGACTAGGTGTCGCAGAACAAGTTAAGGTGGCCTAGGCTCTTGTACTGGTTTTACTGCTGCGTGGACATATAATGGTAGGCAGAAGAAACCGTATCCCAGACCACCTAAGGTGTTGTATCAGATGAGCTCAGGACCTTCAGATATCTAAAAAATATTTGCCTGATGTAACTGTCTATGGGAAGGCATGAGATATGAGAGGTTTCCCCAGTCAGCCTATGGCTGACCTTATATGTATCAGCACTGACAAAATGAGCAAAAAGGAAAATTACACATTATTTGGGCAGTGGGACTAATTGGCTGTTGTTCTGTTTCCAGAAAGATTATATTGATTTACATTTGTGTATTTGGCTGATTAAAAATAATAACTCAATTGAATATGTATTTCTTTGATTACTAATGAGGCCAAACTTTTTCCTGTGTTCATTGGCTATTTATGTTTTTTCTCATTTGTGAGTTACTGATTCACGTTCTTGTCTAGATCCCAGTATACTCCTAGTCCTATGCGGGACTTCCCTGCCAAGAAATTATTAGGGTGATAAAGCATTGTCCCTGTGGGGGAGCTCAGCATTTTCTTGGGGAGACAGTTAAAGGCTAGATGAAACACCTCTGTCACTGTACAAGTAGCCAGTTACGTGCCTACATGAGGAGTCAGATGCTAGAAGCTAAGGATGCTGACACAGGTGGGTGATAGGTTCTGGGTGACAGCTCTGAGTAATGTTGTCTCTTGCTTTTCTTACACAGAGTTTTGCCGAATTGACAAGCCCCTGTGTCACAGTGAGGATGAGAAACTCAGCTTCGAGGCAGTTCGTAACATCCACAAGCTGATGGACGATGATGCCAATGGTGATGTGGATGTGGAAGAAAGTGATGAGGTGAGCTCTCTCATCCTGCTGTGGCTCTCTTTTCTTCCTGTGTGAATTAGTCTTTGAAAGCTGCTTAGACAGGCTATTCCCTGTGGAGAGATGTTCTCTGCTGGCTTGTTTTTTAGGAACTCATCCCCAATGGGGAAGGTGGCTCCCAGCAGAGCAGCCCTCCAGGAGTCAGCCTGTCAGAGTGTAGGCTTTATGCTGGCTGGCTACCGCCTGCTTACTGGCTAGTTGCATAACACTGACTAAACTCTGTTGTTTGGGAGGGAGAGGGATCCCTGAGGCTGGTCTCTATGGTTTCCTTGGACCCTTATTGCAATCCTGCTATAGATGGAGGGCATCAGTCTGTTCTCAGCCCTGTGTTGGCATGTGGGATAGAAGATAAGACACCCAGATCCTGCCCTCTGGGAGTTTATACTCTATTTGGGAAGAAGAAACAAATTGTTTTAGAAAGATCATTCTGAATTCCAGGCTGAAGTTTTTGGGAGCCAGTTGAGTGGTCTAGATAGGAAGAGTTAGAGGAGTCTCTAAATGGAAAAAAGCTCTATTGTTTCATCTTTTGGCATTGTTGTACCTGTAGCTCAGCAGATCCCAGAGTGTAAGGTCATTATTTGTGAAAAGATTTAAAAGTTTCTTCATTTAAAGCTCAACATATACCAGTAGTTTGGTGAAGCTACCAAGTTATGCCAAATCTTCAATAGTGATATAGTTATATCATGATGGGGGAGATAACCCTACTCTCTCTTTCCTGCCAGCCTACCTTTGAGTTTTGAGTTCAATTTTGGATCCCACATTGTCAGAAGGATTTGAAACAGTGAGGGCCTATACAGAGAGGAGTGACATGAGTGATGAAGAATATGGAAAGTACAAAACAAAGAGCATTCAACACAATTATGTTTATTAAGCTGTATGTACCATGCACTATGCTAGGCACGGAGATGGGACTGTGAATAAAACAGATACAGTCTGTCTTTATATAACTTAAAGTCTAGTGAAGAGACTTTAGCCTGGAGAAGAGGAGACTCAGGTAATATAATTTCTATCTTTAAATACATAAGAAGTAAAGAAATCAGACTTAAGTAATGATGATAGTAAAGTGAAAACCATGATACTAGCTATCATTGATTGAACTCTTACTTTATGCCAGTGACAGTGTTAAGCTTTTTGCATAGTTACTCTTTTAACTTCAACAGATTTATGAAGTTGGTATTATTACCAGGGTATGGAGCCTTAGGAAGGTTAAGCATTTTGTTCAGGGACACAGTGGGTATCAGTGCAGATCTGATTTCAAAGCCCATGCTCTTAAGTACTGCTGTATTGTTTCTCCTATTCTAAGAGCAGAACCAGGTCCAAAGTAAAGTGGGGAAAGTAAAAAGTAGGCATTTTCTTTTAGAATAAAGAATTGACTAACAGTGAGAGCTATCTTGCCATAGAAGAGGGTTCCTTGGTAGACAGTGAACTCCCTATCACTGAAGATGGGCAAGTAGCATACAGAACTCCACTGAATCTAGGTGTGGTGGCTCATGCCTGTAATCCCAGCACTTCGGGAGGCCAAGGCAGAAGGACAGCTTGAGGCCAAGAATTCGAGACTAGCCTGGACAACACAGCGAGACCCTGTCTCTAAAAAAAAAAAAAAAAAAAATATTGGCTGGGCGAGGTGTCATACACCTGTAGTCTCAGCTACTCTGGAGGCTGAAGCTGGAGGATCGCTTGAACCTAGGAGGTTGAGGCTGTGGTGAGCTATAATCATGCCATTGCACTCCAGCCTGGGCAACAGAGCAAGACCCTGTCTCTAAAAAAAACAAAAACAAAAACAAAACACAAAATTCACTGATTGGTCAACAGAGGGGATTTGTCTGTAAGGATGAACCAGATAATGTTTAAGGAATTTAAAGGAAGAGAAAAATAGGCTTCCTGGAGAAAAAGTAAAATTTAATAGAATGGAAAGGGTTGGGCTTACTCAGTAGTGGAGAATCAGTGTGAGCAAAGCTGTAGAAGTAGTAAGAAATATAGTGGGTCGGTTTGGTTAGATAGGGACTGTGGTAGAAAACCACAGAACAAAAAGTTGGAAAGGAAAGTGGGGACCAGGTTGAGATATGTATACCTGTTGAACCAGGCAACTGTAAGTTCTTGAGCAAAGACAACGACTATGATGTAAGTGTCTGAAATTTGGTTACATCCAGAAGTGTCACTGACCTGTAAAGGATCAAAATTTTATTTGTCTATCCTGAGAATAGAGCCATGTTCCTGGGGGTGAATGAGGACTAGTGACATCCTGATCACTGTCCCAGGGCCTGGCCACAAAACTGGGGAATGGACGAAGAAGGTGATATAACCCAAGATCTATAAATTCTTGAAAATCTTTGTTATCTGCTCCTCGTTCTTTTTTTTTTTTTTTTTTTTTTTGTCACATTCTGCTGAGTTGCTTTGTCAATGAGGGGAGGAATAAAATGTTCTTTTTAGAGGAATGTTACCACAACAAAAAGCTCATCAGCACAAACTGTTCCGAAATAACACAAAAGCTGTTATCCTGCTCTTCCCTGCGCCAGTGGTGAGCTGTTCTTTTTCAGTATAGTTTTTGCCTTGCCTTGGTTTCCACTACTCTCCCTGCAGTCTCAGGCTTCAAGTGGTTAGAGAGGCCTGCTGGTCTAGGTTTGCACGATCAATCACAAACTACCTTCCTGAGAGAGAAAGTACCAAAATGTGTGTGCCTAAGTCACTTTAAACATGTATAAGATAGCCTTAGAGTTCAGGATCTAACTAGAAAGTTGGGTAGATATCTCAGGGTTTAGAATATTGTGTAATGGATAGTGGGGTACCAGAAACCCTGGTTCTTTTGGCCATCAAGGACCTGAAGGTTTTTTTTTTTCATTAATAAAACTTTTATTCCACTTACATGAATTTAGTACACATGTTCTTAACAATTATGCTTGGATTGTTCATGAGAATTTCATAAAATGTTAATCAAAGCTAGCCATCATCTCAAGTTATTTCCTTGTTAACTATTTTTATAGCACATGCATGCTAGGCAAGTATCAAAAAAAATCACGAAAGCAAAAACCTAAAAAAAAAAAATTAAATACATGGGTTTTTCTTTTTTTGTTTTACTGCTGTGCTTGATATACATGAAGTAATGAATATCAAGCAATTCATTTTTACTGCGTCTTTACTTTTACATTTGTTTTCAGGTTGCCTAAAACATTTAAATACAAATAAAATGAGTGTAGCAAAAATAATGAAAGCTAACATCAGGTAACTTTATAAATGATAGAATGTGAACTGTTTCTGCCCTTATTCAGAGTAAAATGGGTCACAACTTTGTCTAAAGGAACACTTCTGCAGCCGTAGTCAAAGGTGTGCACAGTGAGATTGAATATTCCATAGATATACAAGATGTAACATGTGATATCCATGGGATGTCTGTTTCTACCACAGCCTGTGAAGTGCTCCAAACCTTAAAGTACCTACAGTAACTACACCTGTGACTGGAACCAATGATCCCTTTCACTCCCTACCAGGACAAACCAATGTGTAGGCAGTTTTCTTTGCTTAGACATGAAGCAGTTTTAACACTGGCCCTTGTGAAGCCACAGTGTACCAAATACTATGCCAAACATTTATAACCTTTATAAAAATTCCACATTCCCATTTTGGCCACCTCAAGATGGAAACAGATAACTCCCTGAATGTTAACTGGCTCTACTCTCCTAATATTAAACATAAAAACTACATGGGAAATATAGATATTCAAATAGAAGTAGCATAAACCTGTCATAAATCATAAATAAAAAACTCTTTGTGGGACAACATGGATGACCAATGGTCTACTGTGTAAATTTTAGAACGAGGCAGACAAAGTTAGAAGGCTGGTTAATTTTCCCCTCATTCTCCTGCTTCAGCTTCATTTCCTTGGGTATCCGATGAAGGACCTGAGGTTTTTATAAGACGTCTAAAAGCCTTGCTGATTACTCAAGAGCCTTAGTAGAAGTCTGAAGGCGTGCTCTATTGAGTCCTCATGTATTCAGCCTCCTACTAGTAACTTTTTTGCATAACTGGACTGTAACCCCAGTGCTAGATCTTTTAAAATTTTAGCCATTTCTGAAGTAAGTCTTTCTTCCTTCAGGTTATTGTGACTAGAGTGTTAACTTTTCTTTGTATGAATCAAAGCATATCTTCAAGGCCTCTTGTACTATTACCCCAGTACCTAGATTCCTACATACATTTGTACGATTGCCTCTTATAGTTTTATCTCTTCTTTCATTCTCATTTCTTTTTTATAGACACGTTTATTCAACATCACAATCAAACTATTACATTTAGCAATCAACAGCATGAGTAAAAAAAATTATCTACACTAAAACTTTTTGTTGGCATGCTTTACATTTTCCACAGAAAAGAAACTAAAATAACCTTTTATATAATTAGCCACAAATACAGTCCTACTTTATTTTGCCTATACACATGAGTATTTGTCTAAAACATGTCTTCTTTGTAGCAGCTAGGCCCTGCCACCACTGTGCTTGGCTGAGTTCACAAATCTGTTGTAACCTGTAGCTTCCTTGTCACTTCTCTGGCTTTCTTCTCCTGCTAAGCATTTTTCTGGCAGTAATTAAAATCTTTTGCCACTGCCATAGCTACTGCTGCTACTGGAACCACCATAGCTCCCTTGGTTTTGTGTTTTGACCAGTGTAGAATCCAGAGCTTCTGCCTCCAAAGTTTCCTCCCCTCATGCATCCAAAATTTGAGGACTGATTGTTATAATTGCCAAAATTATTGTAGCTTCCACCACCTCCAAAATTGCTTTCGCTACTACCAACAAAGCTGCTTCTGCGTCCACTGTTGTTATAGCTGTGAGAGCTGACACTCCTGCTGTAGCCACTGCCCTGATTTCCATAATCCTGCCTCCACTTCCATAGCCTCTGCTTCCTCCAGAGTAACCCCAGGGCTGCCCCTTTATAAGCACTGTTGTTACCAAATCCATTATAGCCATCCCCGTTGCCACCAGA